TATATTTACCCGCTTCTTCCTTTTCGGGTAGCGGGGTTCGCTGGTGTCCATGTCCAGCCTTCACTGTGCGAGAGGCGGGGGACACCCTGGACACATCGCAAGTCCATTTCAACCGGCGGGTCAGCGGACGTGCACAGCCAGTGACAGGTTGTCCATCTGAGCTTAAAGTGGTTTATTTTACCTCTTAAACCGGCTGGTTGGACCTGCCTCCTCCTCAACAAGTAGATTAACACTATTTTATATTGTGCATTCTTTAGTTTTGTTGATTTGTAAAACCAGATCAAAGGCCGAGACCGGCCCGGTCGTGACAACACACCGCGTTAGCATCATATCCGGAAGATGTCCATAAATTTCAGCTAAATCTCAGGCTTTGGTTATCTCGTGTGAATGCGCCACATAAAAAGCAGATGTTGGGGAGTAATTTATTTATTACATGTGGTCCCTAGGTAAAAATAATCCCATGCGAATATGGCTTAAGCTGGATATTTGTGTCTGTGTTTTTTAATGAGAAGACAACTTCATACCTTGCTGCTCTAAACCAGTTAATTTCCTGGAGAACACCAAAACTTCTCCTTTGTAGCAGCTACCCAGTCATTTTAACTCCTATCAGGAATTTACATCCATGTCACCAGAGTGTCTCCACTGTGAGTCAACAACTACTGTGACGATTGATATGTGCATGTGCATCTAGCTTGGAGCTGCAGCAGCACATAGTTTTACACAGCAGGAGGTGAGGGGCTGGGTTTGTATTCAGTGAGGGAGAGGAGGAGGGGCTGCATGAAGGTGCAAACTGGGAGAAAAGCCGGCAGATTTTCAATCATAGTTATAACTACGTAGAGTATGAAACTATATCATTTTATATCAATATAGTCCTATTTCGTATGAAATTATCTCAATATTTTAAAAACATAGAGATATTGCCCAGCTCTAATTCTTACCGTTGTTCATCCACAGAAGCAGATAAACTATTGACTGCAGCGGTCCGTAGTGTGCCACCGGCACCAGGCATCTCCAGATACCTCCACTCTGAGATCTGTTCAAAATGCTTTGGGTTCAGTTTGAAACGGCTCGTTTCCTCATAACGGTTTCCTTTTGTTCTTAACATGTCACAAAATATATCTACTTTAGTTTTGGCTTTTTGATTTAACTCATGCTTGATTTTTTTTTTTTACATTTTTTATATTTTTGTATAATGTTTTTTTTTTTTTATCGGAGCCTTTCCTCATGTATTTAGACTTTTATATGATTGTTCTAAATGTGCACATTTTAACACCATTTTGACCAGAACTCCCTGCGACAAAGGAATGATTCATCACAATAGTTCCTTCTCGGTTGAATAAATAAAAGTAAATATTAAAATAGTGTTTACATGAGCCACTATACAACTTTTGGTTACTGAAGTTATTACAAAACATCAGTTAATTGCTTTTAGCTCATCAGTCCAGTCGGAAATCTACTTTATTCTCCAAACTGAGGTTGTTTAAAGAGCTATCTGCAACAGGTAAGATACTACTTGCTTATAAACTTCCTACAGATGTCTAAACTATTCCTTTATGGCATGACGTGGAAAGAAACTGATGTTTTTCTGGACTGTATGTCCCTGTAAATAAAAAATTAACAGAAATGTTCTTGTACTTCTGGACTAAAGAGCTTTAAAATGTTTAAAAAGCGCAGAACTCAAATCTGACCATGTTTGTAAAATGTATCTGCAAAATGAAAGAACAACTAATTCATCCCTGAACGTTTTCCTCTGAAATGAACACCATAGGTTCAGGAGGACGAGTTGAGGATTCTCTGTTCAGCGGACGGTGAACTTCCTCTTCGCCGTTTCACTCCATCATCTTTTCTCTCTCTTGTCACTGCTCGACTCCAGAGGTTCCATAATTTTCTTCTTTTTTGGATTTTTCCACTCAGTCGCCTCGTTTTGTTTGAGGATTTGTGCAAAGAGAGAGGAAAAAAAAAGATAGCGTGAGCCACTGTGGAGATGAGAGGGGTGAGGCAGGGAGGGTGTGGTTGAAGTAAAGGGAGACAGATGTTGGATGGAGAGGCGGGGGTGTGGGAGAGAAAGGTGAAAGAGGCGTGGTCGTGATGGAGGGAGAGAGAGATAGAGACAATGAAAAGATGGAGAGAAAGGTGAAGCTAAAAGACGAGTGGACAGGGAGGGAAAGCAAAGGGAGTGGATCGAGTGGAAAACATGGAGTCAGCTGATGGCTCCCAGTTTCCATGGCAACACGAGGCTTTTCCCACCCACTCGATCTTTTTCCTCCTTTCTTTCCCTCCCCTCCGCCTCACTCACTTCTTTCACACTTGATTTTCTTTTCAGGATTTTGTTTCCGTTTTTTTTTTTTTGTCCCCCTCTCTATAATCATGTTACAGCTTTCTATTTTCACTCTCATCTCCCCGTTTTTGTCCTCTTTCTTTTATTTCACTTTCTGTGCTTTGCTTTCCGTCCTGCAAGTGCGTCTGAAATGTCACTTTACCCCGTAGAGTTTGTCCACGTTCAGTGTTTGCATTCGCTGGAGACGTGCCTCCTTTCCATTCCGTTCTATTCCTTCCCTTCTCTTTCCTTTTTGCCTTTCCTTTGCACGCAGCTGAGAGGTGTGCTCTCTTACCTGCATCATACATTTTTCCTGGAGCTGTAAGAGAAAATGGACGTATGCCACCACCAGAAAAATCAAACGTTTTGACAACAGTGAAACTTAACGTATCGCCTCGTGATGAATTAAAATGCGCAGACGAGTTGACGTTGAATTGTGCTTATTTGCACATATAAAGGCGTTTAGCTGATCGCTGTGAGCCCAGCTTCCAGCTGAGCTGTCGGTTCTGATAAAAGGGTGTTGCTACGTCTCCACCCTCCTCCTCACCCAGAGCCAACCTGGACCGAGGCCAGATCCTGGGCTGGAGGCTCGCTGCTGCTCCCTCTCCCACTCCCAGTCTCTCTCACACTCTTCCTCTTTATTCCCAGCCAGTACCAGTCTCTCTCCATACCCATGCAGCCCCTTCTGTCTCCGTCCGTCTCACTTTCTCCTCCACCTCTCCCTCTTCCCAGTGCACCACACAGCAGCCATTGTTCCCAGCACTTTGGCTGTGCGTGGCAGCTGAGCCCTGGGTGGCAGGAGAGGAGATCCGTGCTCCATTCCTCTGAGGAGGCAGAGAAAACCAGGGCTTAGTGTCAGGATGCCTGATGATGGGCGTGAAAGGTTTTCTTCAGGACGGAGCAGATCTGTACCGTGAACATCACCACTTCTATCGATTTAAATAAAGGAATCTTAGCCAAAAAAAATATTTGTTTTGTTCTTAAAATAGCCATACTTGTAATTGTGGAAGTGATCTTGATCAAAAGTTCCTCAAGCTTGTTGGCACTATTTGAAAGGGTTTATTATTTACAAAAGGGGGCCAAAATGAACCCCTTTTTCAAACTAAAGGCCGGTTTCAGAATCTGCAATAACTCAAGTTAGATACCCAACATCTTTTCTTGATTGCAGACTCCTCAACAAGAGTTTGATTGGTCTCATTTGACGTTTTCTGTTGCATTTTTGACATCATAATCTAAGGTTACTGGAAAAAAAAACATATACTAAAGTATCACACCAGTGTATTTACATGAATGGCAACAACAAAAGCATCATTAGCAACACCAAACCTTGTTGCTAAACCAGGTCCTGGAAACAGACCGAGTGTACTGTCTCCCTCTGTCTTTGGACTGCTGATTAATTGTGATGTTTGGCTGATCAAGTCAAAGCTCTTTCACCTCTAGCTCCTGATAAGTTCTTCTTTCAGAAGGTATTACTTTAAGTGACTTCACTGAATTATTTAATTTCTCTTGCTCCATTTCGAATCTCTGTCCGATTGTCTCAAGCTGCATTCAGCTCTGGGCGCAGGAGAGGTGCGCCCCAGAATGGTCCTATCTCTTGTATTGAAGAGGAGCTACTGCACATGTACAATTTTTAACGAGAGTCTATGGGAAAAGATTGTTGTGCCCCAGGGCAGAAATACGTCACCAATCAGACAATATCGATGAACAAAACAGCTTTACTCATCATTAACTATAAAATATTTATCTTACACAACAACAACAACAACAAAAAAAAAAAAAAAATATATATATACATATATTTCAAAGTATTTTTATTTTATTACTTCATTTTTGTTTAAGTTTTTGATGTCTTATTCAAGGTAATGTGGTAAGTGGTGGGGCGGCGTCCTTGCCCTCTATTGGTCAGTCACCACTGTTTGTATTTCAATCTAGGCCTAAATCTTTTATAAACATTTGACTAAAATGCACTGTTTGGTTTTCATTATGTATTATCTTAGAAAACTCTAAAGCTAATATCTCACTAGGCTGCGACTCTTGGTGACTGAATGGCAAACATGATTGACAAGCGACAACACACCTCAGTCGTCATCGGTGTTTGTAAGCCATCTTGCTATCTAAGCTATCTATAATCCTTGATTTTGTCCGAGTTTCAAGAGTGCAAGAGGGCTTTTTTCACCTGCATGGCAGCTCTCCTCTGCCAGAAAACATGGCTGGGTCTAAAAACCACACAGAGGATAAATAATTAATTATAATTATCCTAGTTTCCAAAGTTTATTTCCATAGATTAAGCCATAAACATGGGGGCCGGTGCAAAGTTCAGTACAATCCAGATTAAAGATGAGTGCACTGTGGGCAACTAAATGCGCATGACCAAGAATGCAATTTTGCAATTTATGCACACAACAATAAGCCATGATTTTCAAAGGTTTTCTACACAAAATGCAACCAGATCGCTTGATGGTTCATTGGTTGCAAATACATAGAATTCTGTGAGACTGCAACAAGAAATGTATGTAATTTTTCACAATGCTGAGTCATGTTTGAGTTGCCAACCAGTCTCCAACAGTCACAGCCCAGTGAGATACTAGCCTAATCTCTCCTGTCTTCAATTATTTTAAAGTTCTTGAGTTTAAAAAAAACATCTAATTTCTAATTTTTTTCTGTGTCCCCTCGTTTCTTTCAGCAGGCAAATGTAGGTGATGACTGCTCACAGCCGACAGACCTGAAGATTAAGTCAGAATTCAAGACAGAGCCCTGTTCGCCTCACTCGAGCCCCGCTGAGGACCAGACCGAACCTGTCGACCTGTCACTTAACAAGCCTCGCTCCACTTCCACAACGAACACCACAGTCAACCCTGCACCCAGCAGTTCTGTGTCCCAGCCCAGCCTTTCTGCCACACCTGTCCCCTCCTCGGTACAATCAATAGGCTCCATGGTAACAACAAACTCCTACTGCTTCCACTTTTTCTTGTAAATACATTCAAGAACTGCAAACTGTAGGGGTACAGCGGTCGGGTATATTCTTTCTTTTAAATTTTTCCTTCAGGTTCTCTCTCCGGGCTCTATCTTAGCCACACAGGGGGCCGGGGGCCAGCAGATTCTCCATGTGATCCACACAATTCCCTCGGTCAACATGCCGAGCAAGGTGGGAGAACTGCAGACCATCCCTGTGGTGGTGCAGTCATTGCCTGTAGTCTACACCACCATGCCTACTGATGGCGTCGCCACAGCAGCCATCACAGTGCCCCTCATCGGCAGCGACGGTCGCTCAGAAGGATCTGGTAAGTAAGGAAACCACAAAGGAGCACAGCATCATCAATAAAAATCAAAAATAAAAAGTTTTCATAAGACAAAAAAACCCAAAACATTAAGGATGTAATTGGATTTGATAAAAGGGAAAGGCAGGGACTGAGGACACAACCTTGTGGAACACCAGAGCTAATGGAAGATTTCATGATAGGTGCTTCCCTTGTTTAACAGTCCATGTGTGGTTAATCAGTCCAGAACCCAGCTACAAAATGAGATGTGCTTAAAGTCCTGAAGTCTTGTGATAGGTTTGCCTGCCTACACAAAACAGACTCAGTCAAACAAACTGACACAGATTTTAACCTTAAAACATGGTGACTGGTTAAAAGCAGGTGATCGTAAATAGCTTCACAGGTCCTCACCCTGTTGTTCATGCAGAGATTTGGTCTCTGAGAATTACAGCCTCTCTTTTTTGGTGTGTGTTTGTGGTTTATTAAACTCAGCCTCTCTGTCTTTGTCTTTCTGGAAGCTCTCCATATGTGCCAGTTGATTGATAATCCCCGTTAAATTAGGAAGACATGTTAGATGACTTTTAGAAATCTGTTCTTGCTTGAAATCCTCCACTTTGTTTTTATGATGTCGGTGTTAAAACCCAATTCTCATTAATTACAGAGATGAGGAAGTTGAAAGAGGTCTCATCCATCTCTGAGTAAACTCAGCTGGATGATGGAGTTTTGCTGAGGAGGGCTGGCTGAACAGGCCTCCACCCCTTTCACAAACTGCAGCAAAGTCCCTCGGTGGAGTCAGTCGCTTCACCTTGGTTTCTAATTTAAACCAGCAGGGCTCCAGCTCAGGAATGTAAACAGTGGAGGCATTCACAATGGAAAACATCCAAAACAGAGACTGCAAAGCACAAAGTGGCCTGAAGATGCTCTCAGACTGTTTGTCCTGAACAAGTTGAGATGTTCAGTAGATGTTCAGTAGATGTTCAGTAGATGTTCAGTAGATGTTCAGTAGATGTTCAGTAGATGCCAGAATCTGTGACCCCATCAACTTTTTCCTTCATTTGAGTCTAAAACTTTCTCATCGACTCCTCTCGACTTCCTGCCATGGCTTCCAAAAGTGTCGGCTCGAGTTTTGAAGTCTCAGAACAGTTTGTAATCAGTTGGTCTCCTCTGCTGCCCGTCTGTTGTTTGATGTGCATAAAATTAAGCATGACAAACGCGTAACAGTCCTTTAACGGTGGTTTAATCACAGTTCAGGGTCTGGAGCCACTTCAGGATATTAAGAAAAAGAACGAGTTGACAAAGGAGACATTCAAATACCAGAAGAAAAAAAAGTTCAGGGATTATTCATGTTATGCACAAGCAGCATGTGAGGGATTTGTTGGCTTCTAAGAATAATCACAACTTTCCTGCACGATCAGTTTATTTGATCTCAAGCTAGATTTCATTTCTTTAATATTTTTCTGTTTGAATCATATTTAAAACTTTCCAAAAATAAAGTTGACGATCAGTTTTTACGTGGACTTTTCCAGCAGACAGAACCAGCTGATGGAGGGTTGGTCTGACCGGTTCCAGCTCTTCGGTAGTCTCTGTTGATATTTTACTGACAGAGTCTGTCTGAGGGGTCATTTATTTTAGAATAACAGAAAAAGGCGGGTTCATAATGTAATTTATAATTTTAGCTCTGAGTTGGAGTTCTGTCGTCCCACCTGTAGATTTCCTGCCATGAAAGACACAAAATCTCAGGATATGATGAGTCACTTGTGTCTGTTTGAGACAGATGTCAACATCAGGATGAGTTTTCTTTGAAAATGGACAAAACAATCATTTTTTTCTTTTAGCGCTTAAAAAAAAGGTGCAAACAAATTGTGTGGGGAAACACAACTCAACACAACACCGGACTGACGAGCTAAGAGAGGGGCCGACACCAAACGGACTGCTGCCACCCTAAAAGAACTCCAATCTGAAAATTGTCACCGCGGCTCATACGAAGGATGTTTTATAAACTTTAACACCGTCGTCAGTTTTACGTGAAAGGGCCACTCCAGCGCTGCTGTTAGCATTTAGCAATATTTCAGTTGAAACCGTGCAGCGCACGATGCATCGCTGAGGCGTCTTTGAGACTGGAGTTGCACTGATATTAATTTTACTGCCTGCTGCCTCCGGGGGCAGCGTTTCTGTTTCCGTTGGGTTGGTGGTTGACTCAGTTTGTGAATGAAGATGGTCCCTTTAAACATTTATTTTGTCACTCAGGCCAGGCGGAGTCTGGATGTTGTCGACTTCAGAGCTGTTACTCAAACGAAGAGTGTTGGCGTGGGGGTGGTGGGGGGGGCAGGTCTAGTCTTGTTTACCTGCAGAGGGAACAAACAGGAGGCAGCTGGCGTCTTGTGATGCCGTGATGTGTGGGAGGAAGAGGAGATGGAGGCCTGAACGGAACAAGGGCTTGATGTTATGGAGGTGGGAGGGTTGAGGAGGAGAGGGTGTGGTGCGGGGGTGCAGGTGGAGGGGCTTTTGCCTCTGAAAGAAAAGCTGCAACAGTGAAATGCTGGGGGGGGGGGCTCGATTGTTTCAGGAGACAAAAAGCGAGGCTTCTCTTGGTGTGTGACCTTCTCCACGTTTACATATACTCCACCCAAATTCCTGGCATCACCCTTCCAACCACCCCGCCCCGCCCCTTCCTGCTCGCCTCTGGACTTTGAGCAGAGTGGCTTCCACATTCCTGCAGATAGCAGCAGGAGGGGTTTGGGTCTCATTCATTTGGTGACCAAATAATTAATCATCTCATTTAGAACGCACCTCGTGTGCTCCTGCCTTTCACAGCTTTGACCCTGCTGTGTGATGTTGGCAAAGTTCCAGAAAATATTATTAATAATCACAATTACGGCTGCACAGACAACCCACACAGGTCCTGCTTGTTTTTTCATCACAACTCTCTCCGTACGGTGAAAGGTACATACAGTAGTCCCTCGTTTATCACAGGGGATCCGTACCCTGAAGACCCGCAATAAGTGAAAAACCACAAAATAGGAATAGTAGTAC